AATGGAAAAAGTTGTCAATTACAAATTTATCATTTTGCCCCCTTAGACTTTTGTACTGGGTGAATTCAGTAATATATATATATATATATATATATATATATATATATATATATATATATTGATAATTATACATATTACCTTACGTGGAAAATAGACTCGGAGTTTCATGTTCAGTACAATCTCCAGGTACTTATAATAGCGATGAACTGTTGATCGCACGCATGTATGGTTGCTTGTATCTATATTTATTTAATTCATGCATATATATATATATATATATATATATATATGAATTAAATATATATATATATATATATATATATATGAATTAAATATATATATATACATATATGTGTGTGTGTGTGTAATCTCATACACAAACGATTATTTTTTAACCAATTAATAGATTTTTTGAGTTACACATATTCAAAGAACTTAAAATGATTACTTGGTTACTTATTTTAGTGCATCATTTTACTTACAATTATTACCACGTGACGCAGACAATAGTCAGTACATTATTTAAAAAAATAGCCTCAAATGATTAAGAATGCTTTTTAGATCCATCTATCGTTTATATTATAACCAACTAAAACGGTTTTTACATTTATATAAGTAGCGTAGTATTCGTTTTAAGTAACGCGGCTAATCGAAATAAGTATTGCGTAAATTGTTGTGAAGTTTCTTTTAATAAACGAGGATGTTGGTAGTTGGGTCGGTGTCGGATTTGCAACAAAGATTTTATAACAAAAGGGGTCTTGAAAAAATAATGTTTAGGAAGTTATGGTCTATTAATTGCATAGAAATATAGCTTGGTGGTCAGATTGTTGCCATTTCCATTCTGAAGTGCATTCAATTCCTGTGACGTTCTTAAATCAGTCGATGTTGACAGGCTTCGTATTCTGCTCTCCATGATAAGGGAGATAACTCATATTCATTAATTCATATTTGTGTCGCCGCTTCTGTTTTTTTTTTGGCTGAGTTTAATATATGTTTTTTTTTTGTTTCAATTTTTGAGATGAGAATATTTGGTCACTTTCAGCTGAGGATTCAACAAAAAATCGAAAATTGCTTTTTTTCACTGCAAATTATTCATTATATCATATCTAGGTATTTTACAAAAAAATTAGAGCCGATTAAACAATATTTCAAGTCTAATTTAGGTTTATAGTTCGAGGCAACATAAACCGTAGATTTGTCTGCGGAATATCATTAAATTATTGTTATATAATTACAGTGACACACTTAAGGTTTTTTTGTCAAAAGCATTTTATTTTTGGTCGTATATTAATTTAAAATATTCCTCCTTACAGGCTTTATTTTTGAAATGGAATAAGATCATTCAAAATTTCAGTATTTCGCTATTGCCTATCAAAATTGCTGGAAGAAAGCGATCTAAAAACAATAATGGGAAAGAGAGGTAACAAAGCGTAAACGAAATAGCTCCAGTTTGTTCAACTTAGGAAACTTAGCATTGCAGCCAAAGTATTCTAAAATGCTGCCAATAAAAAAAATTACTTACTACCTATAGTGTAATCATTCAGCGGTGGTGGTGTCTGGTTATTCCATTACATCATGTTTGAAGTACTGAAACCAAAAATTAGATTCATTGATTTTACTAATGTTTCAGGATTTAGTTTTAAAGATCGTCTGAAAAATTACAGTAATACCAAATTTTCGGAGGTTTCTGCTTCCAAACTGACTTTTACTATTTCTGAATCACCAAAAGGAAAATATGATATTTTTTACTGTATTCTATAGCGAATATAATAAAAGTTAATGACATCACAACATTCTTGTTCTGATAAGTAGTAAGAGTTTTAGAAGCAATTGTTTGATGTCATTTTCTTAGATGAAGCATTTTCATAATATTTAAT